CCATGACCAGGAGACCCACCATGACCAGAAGACCAAACCATGACCAGAAGACCAAACCATGACCAGAAGACCAAACCTTAACCAGAAGACCAAACCTTAACCAGAAGACCAAACCTTAACCAGAAGACCAAACCATGACCAGAAGACCCACCATAATCTTAGTCTCTCATCATCATGGTAGTGAGAAACGCGTCCCATTAAGACCTATCCTATTAATCAACCACACAGAGACATCACGTGAATGAGGATAGTGAATGACGTCAGTGACTTTCCTGTATAGTGTATTGGCCGTATAACCCGAGAGAAGGGGAATACAATGTTGTGTGTTTTGTTTATATAGCATTTATTTGTTTGTTTGTTGTGTGTATATTCTTGACATCAAACTCGAAAGCTGAATAATTAACGACTTTCATACATAAGGACCTTGGTGTGTTTACTTGTGTATACATTTATAATTTTTACGTCCACCTATGTATACATCTATCCACGCATACATCCACCCACGCATACATCCACCCACGCATACATCCACCCACGCATACATCCACCCACGCATACATCCATCCACGCGTACATCCACCCACGCATACATCCACCCACGCATACATCCACCCATGCATACATCCACCCACGTATACATTTATACATCCACTCCTGGGAACGTTCTATTTGTCTAGTGAATAGAACGATGATACACTCTGAGCAGCAGTGCAACCAGTTAATGATGGTATTACCGTGAATTGTGTAGCGTAAGGCTGCTCTCTCTGTGTGTGTAGGGTAGGGTAGGGTAGGGTAGGGTAGGGTAGGGTAGGGTAGGGGGCTGGCCACACAGGAAAAGCGAAGGGTAGGAGGCTGGCCACACACGGAAGATCAGTATTTCACGTAGACTTGAACTATTGAAGGATGGGGTGGTGGAGGGAACGGTCGGTGTGAGTGTGATTTATCCCTGTCGAGAGAGAGAGAGAGAGAGAGAGAGAGAGAGAGAGAGAGAGGAGAGAGAGAGTGAGAGGTGAAGAGAGGGTAAGAGTGCAGGAATGTGGGGAGAGTTTAGTTTATCAAAGGGGATTTTTGACAGTTTTATTATAAGGCTTGTCTGAGAAGGGGAGAGAAGAGAGTGGTGTGTGTGTGTGTGTGTGTTAGTGTTTTATTTGATAAGCCACCGCGCCTCGTAATAGAGCGTAATGGTGATGACAAATAGATTAGAGAATTTACATTTGGATTACCTACCAATTAACGCTTATTTTTTGACACCAAATTAAAGAATAGCCGAGCTGGTCCGCTATGGTGAAATTACTATTTTTTGTTCGCTTCTATAAAGTTTCTCTTGTCTGGCGAATTGGTGAGCTTTAATGATGATGTTGTAATGTACACGTCCAGAATATAAACTGATTGAGTCTCCTGGTACCCGCGTGCAAAGTACTCCCCCCTGTGTATCACCCAAGACGTAGGTACAGTAACTATCGTCTGGTCACTGGAAGCTTGCAACCGAGGCTTAGGGTCAGTTTGTAGCATGGCAGCTGATTGGTTGGCAGGTGGACTAAGGCCTCGAGTCGGTTTGTAGCATGGCAGCTGATTGGTTGGCAGGTGGACTAAGGCCTCGAGTCGGTTTGTAGCATGGCAGCTGATTGGTTGACAGGTGGACTAAGGCCTCGAGTTGGTTTGTAGCATGGCAGCTGATTGGTTGGCAGGTGGACTAAGGCCTCAAGTCGGTTTGTAGCATGGCAGCTGATTGGTTGGCAGGTGGACACGGGAAAGGTCACTACAACTCTTTGTAAAATGTCGCTGAAAATTTTAATGTTTTTCTTGTTATTTTCAAGATATTTATGTTACCAGAGTGTTTCACAAGTTAATTTTTGCTTCGCCTAACAGTAGCCACGCCCACCGAACACAATCGCCACGCCCACCGAACACAGTAGCCACGCCCACCGAACACAGTAGCCACGCCCAGAACATCCACGTTCACCCACGCCCACCAAAACACCCACGTAGCCACGCCCACAATTAAGAACATCCACGCCCACCAAACACAACAGCCACGCCCACCAAACACAACACCCACGCCCACCAAACACAACACCCACGCCCACCAAACACAACACCCACCAAAAACAACAGCCACGCCCACCGAACACAGTAGCCACGCCCACTCAGTACAGCAGCCGTGTATCGCCATGGGAAATAACGAGAGTGTTTACCTCCAACAAATACATGATATCCACACTGCGGCTGTATACATGTGGCGTGTTTGGCCAAAACAATACTGTATCGACCAGGTTTAATTTCACCCGTTTGATGTAGGGAAAAAAATATACATGCCTCTCCGAATCTCAGTGGTGGCGGGGGAAAATGTGGCGTTGTGGTGGTTGTTAATTTGGGTCAATGGTCGTGAGTGTTCCGCCTGACTAAATGTGTTGACCTGTAATCAGTTAACCTATATAACTGAAGGGTTAATATGTTCACCTGTAAGCAGTTATATGATGTAATTATTATATTGTGTATTAGGATCACCTGATGAATCTTCACTACAACTGCTTTGTTAGGTTAGGTTAGGTTAGGTTATTATCCTTTTCATAGTTTTTATCTTCGTAATTATTATCCATGTCACCGTTGCCGTGTTGGTGATTGTCTTGCTGTTGGGAGTTGTGGTGGTTGCTGAGGTGGTTGTAGTGATTGTTGTGGTTGCCATGGTGATTGTGGTGGTTGCTGTGGTGGTTGTGGTGGTTGCTGTGGTGGTTGTTCAGTTGGTAATGGTGGTGCCCCCTCACTCGAGCCAGCTGGGAGGGAGGGGGGGGGGGATAGGTGGCTCCAGGTGTGATGAAGAGCGTCATTACGGGCGGCGCACTGCATCACCGACCGTGTTACTGTGATAATGTGCCTTTGACAACCAGCTGGCCAGGAGGGGGGAGGGGAGGCTGGCGTTCTCATCTAACACACACACACACACACACACACAGCTTATTCCTAAGAGTATTGAACCTGTTATTAGTGTCCAGGATAGTGTAAGATACAGTATAAAAGGAATTGTACATATAAACATTTATCCTCACTTGAGACACTACTTAAAGACACTACTTAACACACTTATAAAAAACAGGTACAAGGTGCAATGTTGTCTGTCCGTAAGTATGAATGTGTCAGATAAGTGTTGTAAGGTGTCATCTGGTCTTGTGTGCCTGTTAGTGTCACCTGTCGTAAGTGTGTGTGTGTGTGTGTGCGCCAGTGTGACCTTGCCTGGGTGCCTGATAGTGCCAAACGTTGTCTCAGTTATTGATTATGTTGAGGCTCAGCTGCTGGCTCCTGGTGATCGATGCCTCGCTCGTTTGGTTTGGTTTAGGTTTCGTTACGTTACGTTACGTTAGGTTACGTTGATCTGCCTTCCTTTGCTTAACGTAAAGAAACACTCCCCAGATGATGGAGAGCAAGTAAAGGTATACTGCAGGTGTAGCGTGTGTACCTGTGTCCACCCTCCCTCGTTACTCTCTCCAATCATTCTTCCTCCTCCTCATCCTTATTGTTCTTCTTCCTACCTTGTGTCTCTCTTCTCAATCGTCACTCTTGCTCTCCTTGTCACTCTCCCTCCATCCATCCATCCCTCCTCTCCCTCCTCCTTCCTTCCTTCTCTCTCTCCCTTCCTCCCATCCCCTCCTCTCCCTCCCTCCCCCTCAGTTCAGCTCAAGGAAAGTTATATATATTAGATACAATATATATTACCTCTATCAATATCATCTCCCGGAAGCTATACGGTGATAACGAATCCTCCGTTGGTTGAGATATATATATATTTATAACTAAACAAGACTTAGCTCACTGAAGACCGTTTAATCTTACAACCAAAATTATATGTTTATGTGAAGAAATTTTCTCGTATTGGTAAATATTATAGAGAAATAGAAGACAAGGCGGTGAATAATAATTCTTTTCTTGGTGTAAAATTTGTTAATTCTCTACAATAATATATCAAACGTTTCAGGAGACGTTATTAGGTTATTTATGATACCTGTAGTGTGTGGCTATGAACTGTAAATAATAAAAATGCCTTGTGGACACACACACACACACACACACACACACACACACACACCTATAGAAAATGTTATGTCGCTTGAAATATTTAATGATGTCACGTTGATGGTGTGAGAGGCCGCCATCAATACCTCCTGTAGCAGTGGTGAGGCTGGAGGAACAATGACCTGACTCCCTCTACACCTCCACCTGGCCTCTCTGTATCTCAACTTCTTCTTGTGTTCCTCTTGATTCCTCTTACATTCTTCCCCCCCTCTCTCCTTTTCTCCTCCTCATCTTCGTTTTCTTTTTGTACCTACTTTTCCTCTTGGTCTTTCTCCTCTTCCTCGCTCAAAGCTGCAGTGGTCATCAAGGGCTGGTTGAGTGAAGTGTGTCTGGTAATATGAATGGTATCTAGTTCTCCCCCCTCTACCCGCTCTGAGTGTGATGCTCCTCGACAGCCCCCCTTCTGGTAGTAATTGCTCCTCGATAGCCCCCTCTGGTATCAGGTGGCTCCTCGATAGCCCCCTCCTCCTCTTGGTATGAGTAGCTCCTCGATAGCCCCCTCCCCTCCCTCTGAGTACGAGTACTCCTCGATAGCCCCCTCCCCTCCCTCTGAGTACGAGTAGCTCCTCGATAGCTTCCAATCCCTCCACCTTGAGTATGAGTAGCCCCTCGATATGGTTCACCCTCTATATATCTCTACTGAATATATCATTTCCATACTGCAGAGATAGTAGTTATAGGTAGGTGATGTAATTAAAGGCATGAGAGTAACATTTGAAGGCCAAGTCAACGATTTAACAGAAAAAGCAAGTCATGATGATGTTATTACCTGAAGTTTATTGATTGGATTCAGTTGTTTGTTGACATGTTTTGTGTTTGTTGATTATTAGCGTAGGTGTAGTGTTAAGGTGAGGATGGTGTGGTAGGATTGCCCCGAGTGGTTGAGGTTGACATGAGTGAACTAACACCACCTTCTATATCACTACCGCCAGAGTTTACCAGGAACTTCAGCAACACATCCAGGCGACGCTTCCACCACTATCACCACAAGATGAACCACCACCATCACCTCCAACATCACCACCATCAGTCCTGCCACACCCACACCACCTCCCCTCACGGTTCCCCCCCGTACACCTCCCGCCCAAACCAATGGTGCCTCATCATCCTCCCCGACCACCACGGCTGCCGCCACTACCCCCGCACCTCCACCACCCCCCGCTGCCTACCTCACCGCCTCATCTCCCGTCATCTCCGCCTTGGCTCCCCCCACAACCACCTCGAACAGCACCCTTACTCCCACTGACCACTTCATTACCAAAGCCAATGCTACCACTACGATCAAAGCCACCACTTCCTCCACGGTCATGGTATAAATCACCAGTGCCACCTCAACCGCCATCAACAACTAGAACTCACACCGCCATCAGCAGGTGATGATGCCCCGGTCCTCCCGCCCTCATCCACTACCCCGCCCTCACCCTAGCTGACTTTCTTGTGCATCTTCCCTTCTCCTGCTACTTATCCTCACCCAAACTGGCCAGTAGCTGCTGCCCGCCCCAGTACCACCTGGGTGCTGCCCGCCCCAGTACCACCTGGGTGTTGCCCGCCCCAGTACCACCTGGGCACTGCTTGTCTCACTACCATATGGGGACGAACCGCTTCTAGCATCAGTTGATGTTGGCCATTCCCGATACCAGCTGGGTACGAACTGTCCCAGTGCCACCAGTGTTGACCATCCTCAGTCAGCTGGGTGCTGGCAGCCCTCAGTATGGTATACGTCAAGTGGTGGCAACTTTCACTCTGACAACAGCAGACCTTCTAAACAGTCTGTCCCCCCCTGACCCCTTGACCCCTGACCCCGCCGTCCGTGCAGTAGTGGCAGCTTGGTGTGGTAGCATACATCACATCCCTCCCTCCCCCCTCCCGGCTGTGTACCACACCCAACACTGTACCTGCACCACCGCACCACATAGTTAGTTGGCTAGTCGAGACTGCATGCGTGTGGGCGTGACAGGTGCCGCCGCGCCGCTCTGTCCCCCTCACTCCCACCCGCCAATGATCTCTAGTTCCTTGTAAATTGTCACAAACTTGGCCTCAAGGATGACGTCCACCTCTCACCTTGAGTTAGGCTTCCGGGATACTTGTGAATAACCGGCTGGTGTGTATGTGTACGTGTGTGTAAACAGACGGTTGATGACCCGGCAATGTCCGGCAATGTCTTGTGTTTTTGGTGTAGGGCCGCCTCTCACTCAACGGCAGACCAGAAAGCCCTCTTTTGGTCTATTGGCCCCCTCCCCCCGCCCCCTTACCACCGCTATAAACACCACCTCCTTCAGGAAATGTCTCTGACTGTGACCACTGCTCGAGTAGTAGTATTATCTCCTCTCTTGTGGGTGTTGGTCCTCTTGCATGTCCTTAACTGTACTCACTGGCTCAGTCTCCTATCATCTTTGTCTTAGGACTGTATCGTAGGATGACAAAGCTTATTTTGACTAAGCGTAATTACTGTGTGAGTAGTTAGTAAGATGTATATATTTATGTGTGTTTTAATGACGCTCTTGTTGTTGTTTTTATTTATTGTCTGAGTTTATCTGTAAATATATGTATCTCAAGGTGTCAGCTGTGAACTGGTCAGGTGAGGTTAATTGCTCTCCAATCTCACCTGTGGTCTGGGACTTCTGTTGACTTAAGTCTATATAAAGTGTTTATTTTATTTTTACATTTAGAACTGTTATTTATTACAGGTGAGCCAACATAACTCGTACAGTCCTCAAGAAGCTAATATGTTGGTCTTATTTGTTATTTATACAAGATGTATTTTATTTACAGATATATCATAGCTCAGTGTTAAGTCATTCGGCCACATTAAAGGTTAGACTGTTATGAGGGATCAACGGGTGACGTGGGGAGATGGGTGTTACTCAAGAGACAGATGATCGCCCATAACTCACTGGAGAACAAGACTAGGGAGCTTAAAGTACTGCCTGTAGTCTCCCCCTCCACACTCACATTGAGCTAACATCACACCGAATTTAAATCAACGAGTCGGAATCAGATCATTGCTCACTAAACTATCCAAATGATTAATGAAGAGCTGCTGCATAATTAGCTAACACCACACAACACACTGCCCTCACCACAAATACACACACCCCCATCACAACACACTGCTCCCCTACCACAACACACACACCCCCTATCACACACAACACACGCCCCATCACAAACATTAATGCCCTCACCACAACACACACCCTCACCACAACACACACACTTCACCACAACACACACCTCACCACAACACTGACACGTCTCACTGATAACAACATTATTCTCACCATAACACACACCATTATAAACACACACGCCCCCTCATCTGAACGTAAAAGGTGGGCGTGTGATCTTAACTCTATAATGCTCGCCTCACTGAATAATTAAACGGAGACTTATAAAAAAATCAGTCTTTAGGAGAAGTTTTTTCTCTCGCCTCATCTTGAAAAGTTTAATCGTACGAAAAGTTCATTTGTATTTTTTAAAAGAAGTTTATATTTTTCTGGAAGGGAATCACATAGAGTTTGAATATTATTGTTATTCTTAATACTCGTGAAGAATCTTAGTTTCCATGGTGATTCTTAATTCATGGGGTGATTCTTGATAATTGGTGATTTTGGAGGTTTGTTATGAGTCTTATTAGTCTTAAAGAGGTTTCTTAATATACTCCTGAAGAGGCTTAATACAATCCCCCTCACCTCAGATGCTGCCAAATGTCCAGAGAATTTTGGTGGCAGGTATACAAAGTTACATTACACCTCTGAAAAGTTTATAAATTTTTTCATCCAATATGGTGAAGTAAATAAGTTATTGAGTAGTAAATGGGTCTTATATAAATTATTACTATCCCGTATATGATCTTATGTAGGGAAATGTTAACTAGATCAACCGAAAGACGAGTTATATATATATTTTATTTCTCATTACAAAAATAAAAATCAGCATAGAAAAAAAAATAATTTGTTGAGTTAATGTATTCACGAATGCACTCAGTAAATTATTTCAATTGTATTTTTAAAAACTCTGTGTAATATTTATTTTTATTTAATATAGGGGTAAAAAAAAAAAAAATATTCTCTGAAAATGTTTTATTTGACAAGGGACAAAATTCAACAGAACCAGTACTACAATTTGTGTTGAGCATGGGATTACCTGGGATTACCTGTATCGTTGTCGGGGGATTACTGCTCCCAAACATTCACACGGACCGGGTTACGAGGGATGGCTATTTAACACCTTCAAATATAAAAAAACTCGTCCCGTCAGTTTTTTTTTGTTTTTTTAGGTATATTGTTGTATCTCGTTCTCTGATTATTGCGGAGAGAGAGAGAGAGAGGAGAGAGAGAGAGAGATAGGAGGAACGGTGAGGGCAGCAGATAAGGCCATGGCGAAATAATAGGTCAAATCTACCAGGAACATCAAAAGGTTAGGAAGGGATTAAGAGCTATTGGCGATGCTGCTACAGTTATTGATGTTGGGCGTGACCAGCAGAGGGTCAGGTCCGAGTCACCAGGCTAGAGTACCTGACCATTGCCCGACAGGTGACAGGAGGTTGGATTAGAGCCTAGATGACCACACCTTCATTAGTTAATCACCTTACCTGGATACAATTAACCAGGTGATTACGTCATAAGGATCCTTGCTGATATGACGCCAGGAATCACGTGGTGTTGACGTCTTCAGATAAGCAGTATCTCGTCAGTGGTTATACTGCGTCTGGGGGTAATGACGTCAGTAGATAAGCAGGCCAGGTGTGATGACGTCAGGGGGTCAGTGACGTAAACAGACCGATTGAAATGACGTCAGTAGGTAGTTAGTCTATTGTTACCCACTGATTATTATTATTTTTTGGCCACGAGTGTTATTGTGCTGGTGCTTGCTGACCTGACCCTTCCACCTCACACTTCGATCTGACACTTCAACCTCATACTTCAACCTCACACTTGGACCTGACCCTTAAATCTAACACTTCGACCTGACACTTCCACCTCACACTTCGGCCTCACACACACACACACACACACGCACACACACACACACACACACACACACACACACACACACACACACACACACACACACACAGATGGTTTTTATCATTACATTTTCATATTAGTTTGGTATAACTTCTCTGTGAATGTGTTCGTAAAAAAAAATAGCCCTGGAATGTTATCTTAATGTATCAGTAATGGGTGAAGTAAATACCATGATATAGTGGGTGTGTGATGTATGGTGTGGTTAGTGATAGTGTGTGATGTATGGTGTGGTTAGTGATAGTGTGTGTGATGTATGGTGTGGTTAGTGATATAGTGTGTGTGATGTATGGTGTGGTTAGTGATAGTGTGTGTGATGTATGGTGTGGTTAGTGATATAGTGTGTGTGATGTATGGTGTGAAGTTAATGATAGTGTGTGTGTGTGTGAGATGTATGGTGTCTTGTTAGTGATTCCGAGTTGTGAGTTCCGTGACATCAGTTATTGCAGCGCTGTGATTGATGTATATTATTACATCCAGCTCGAGGTCGTGGGGAGGTGGACGAGCTAGGTCAATCACCCAGAGCCAGCACCCCTTCCCACCCCCCTCCCCCGACAGCTTAATACCTGCCTGGTCCGTCGGGTCATATCTAGGTCAGTCATTAGTCTGATATTATTGCCATCATAAGCTGTCGTAATTGCCACTATGTCCGGGTTGATTCTGTAATGTGTGTTTATGCCATTTATTTAACTAGATCCATCGTTACGAACGCTATGTCTAAAGTTATTTCTCTCGTTATTTCTCACACAGGTATAGTAACGATCCTTTGTTCGTTATTGATTCGTTTTTCGTTTTAGTCTTTAGTTTATATAGGAATTACCCTGTTGTGGGTGTATGTCGAATGGGCCCCAGTTCAATTAGGCCCCAGTTCTAATAGGCCCCATACGTAACCTAACTTAACCTGACCATTCGAACTTTGTCTAGTCTTAATGAAATGGGCCCCAGTTCAATTAGGCCCCATAGACTACTAAAAACTTGGGGCCCATCTGACCTATCACATGTCTTACCTGTCTTCGTTGATACCTGTAATTAGATTTCTTCAGGTATTTTCCCTAGGTAATGTTTGATTAGGTATATGTTTTAAGAGAGAAGAAGTTACCTATATATCACTGACGACTGTAATTTGATGTTTATTATTATTATTATTATTATTATTATTATTATTATTATTATTATTATTATTATTGTTTGGCAGAGTAGCGTCTCAGTTGTCAGTGTTCACAATCCTCGTCATCATAACATTGGGTGAAACTGACAGGAGAACAAATTAGCATCTAAGAGCTGATAGGAATATGGTATGCAAATGACTTCTAAATAAAGCCTCCACTCCTGCTTGTGCAAATAGGAGGGGAAGGGGATGTGTTGACTCCTGTGTGTAGGGTATATATGTCATGTTAGGAGAAGTTAAACTCTCTCTCTCTAGAGCGTGTGCACAGTCAGTTGGCATCATGGGGTCAGCCATCATGGCCCAGCGTGGCTAGTCTCTTGTGACTTTCCCTCAAGCCTAAGTTAGTTGAAGGTGTGTGTGTGTGTGTGTGTGTGTGTGTGTGTGTGTGTGTGTGTGTGTGTGTGTGTGTGTGTAGCAGACAGCGTGTTTACATTGACTAGTAAACCTGAGTCAACTGCGAACCTTTTACAGACCCCAGGCAAAAACTTCGCCTGTAGGGGAGCTTACGTGTCAACCCATAACCTAGTGAATATTTTGTGTGGTGTGGGTTTTTTAGGGAAGGTAAGGGGAGGGGCGAGGGGGAGGTGTGGAGGGAAGAGGAGGGGAGGTGTGGAGGAAGAGGAGGGGGGTGCTTTAAATGTCGCTGTTGACTTGATGTGGATATTTTTAGTGTTTAGTGTACTGTTAACGTCTGACACACACACACACACACACACACACACACACACACACATGCATATATATATATACACGAACACGCACACACTCTCCTTTGAGCCCCTGTAAAGACTCTCTTAAAGCAGGGTGGTTCATGGCAAAAGGTTAGACTCAGGCGTGTTTATGTCTCCGCACGTTCCAGCCAGACGTGTTAAGAATCACCAGTGAAATGACAACGTTAAGAATCACCTCTGAAATGACAACGTTAAGAATCACCACATAAGTTAAGGCACGTTTAGAATCACCTAAGAATCACATGTCCAAATTCAGAGCGTCCGTTAACCACACTCTGATTGGCTGAAACTCACGACGTCATGTTTAAGTGACGTCACACTTCCTAACCAATCAGAATAATGATAAAGTTGAATATACTGAGGCGCTGTAGTGACGTGTGTTGATGAAGGTTCATGTTGGGTGACCTGTGTGTGTGTGTGTGTGTGTGTAGCGCCATAAGCCAGTGATTAGTGAGGGTCAGAGTTTAATCACCTCTGGTTTATCTAACACCGCTATAGCACTCCTAATTAAAGGTTACATTGTGTGTGGGTGGGTGTGGGGGGGGTAGGTGTGGGGATGTGCCTGTATGTGGGGGGAGGGGGATAGTTAAGACAAAGTAGTGAATGTGTGGAACAAGTTACCAATAATCATCATTAACTCGAATACACTGGATAGCTTCAAACATACTGTAGGTTGGACGGATATGTGAGCGATAGGTGGTGGGTTTAAACGGGATTGCCTAGTATGGGCCAATAGGTTCCTGCAGTTTCCTCCATTCTTATGTTCTTATATCGAGGGCCCATTAGATGTGAAACCCTCATATAACGGTTTATATGGAGAGAGAAGTCCGTTATATGGAGGTTTCATTGTAGTGTATATATAGTGTTTTCGGGCCAATGTGACCCTTAACGAGTAATGTGGTTCTCTATTGGTCTCTAGAGGCGCCTTAATGGTCCACTGGGCTCTTTCTGAAGGAATTTTTGAGCAGCTGTGGAATGATTTTCGACGATGGGTGATGACGTCAGCTGTATCACCTACTGCAGTTATTATAAGATGTTGATTATTACAGGTTGTTTAATACTTACCTGGTGTGTGTGTGTGTGTGTGTGTGTGTGTGTGTGTGTGTGTGTGTGTGTGTGTGTGTGTGTGTTAGGGCTGTCATTGATTAATCTCTAAGACGCACTTGTCATTGCCCGCAGCATCAGCTTAAGCAGTCTGGACTCTGACGCTGAGGAAGCCTTCTATGATGCCGAGGACAGCACCAACACTCAGGGTGAGTACACGAGTCCTATTTATCTCTCGAGTACAAATATTAATAACAACTCAGGTGGACGGTAACGAAGTCAAATACACCTCGTTACTGAAACTACAAGAAGTTCCTTAAAATTTGCCTTTTTCTTCTTCTCGGTTCTTCATTCATGGTGTCTCGGTAAGTTAGAATGTGATATTTTCTAGGCTGTCAGACCTCCAGTGAGCGTGACATGTTTCCAGCCAATCATAACTCGGCTTTATACCACATTTAACCTCCACGTTTGTTTCATTTGTCGGTCTTCAGCTCCAGTGTAAAAAAAAAATACATTTATTTCATGGTCTATATCTTCAGTACCATGACCGTAAGTACTCCCCTTGACCATCTAGCTCCAATTAGTAACAAAATCTTCGAAAATTTCCACTGTGTCATATCCCCGTGGTGTCATATCCCCGCGGTGTCATATCCCCGCGGTGTCATATCCCCGTGGTGTCATATCCCCGCAGTCATATCCTCGTGGTGTCATATCCCGTGGTGTCATATCCCCTGTAGTCATATAAATTATATAATGTTATACTGTAGGTGATTTTTCTTTTTTTACGGGGGATTAGCCCACTCAAGCACATGTCACTGACCCACATCAGGGCCTGGGGAGCGAAAATATAATACAAATAATAATAATAATTAATAAAAAAATAATAATAACAATAATAGTAATATTAATAATATAAAAAATAAAATAAATAAAAATTATAAAAATAATAATAATAATATATACTAAAGGTAAAAAAAATAAGTCCAGAGTGAAAACGACAGTGTGCATGGTGTGTAGTAAGAGAAACAACTGAAACCCTGAAATTTTGTGTAAATGAGGAAGAAAGTCAGATCAGCAACCTGGGGACTTGGTCACAGTTTTGGTGATGCCATATGGCAGCAGGGTCTACCATTAGACAACACATTATGCTTCCAACATTTTCCCAGGCGGTAGTATAGTATAATGTGAGGATAAGACACGCCACATCACGTATTGACAGTAGAGCTTGATTCTCCTGAAAATATGTAAAGTATAACTTGTCTTAGCTGTCAACTGTGCCAGCTCTTGTGTAAATCTTTTAGGTAAGTCGGGAGTTTATCGTGTAGTGTCTGGCATCGAGCCTTGTCTCCATTACTGTGTTCCCGTGTTCTTGTGTTCCCGCGCTCTCGTTTCTCCGTGCTTCCGTGTTCTCGTGTCCTCGTGTTCTCCTGTCTTCGTGTTTTCCGGTCATCGTGTTCTTCTGTCTTCGTGTTCCGTTGTCCTCGTGTTCCCCGCATCCTCGAGTTCCCTTGCCCTTGTGTTCCCTGTCCCTGTGTCCCCGGTATGTCCGTGTTCTCGTGTGTGTGTGTGTGTGTGTGTGTGTGTGTGTGTGTGTTCCTTACCCTCAAACGTTGTATTAGAAGGAGTGTTTACTCAGTTTGTGACGTGAGCAGAGCTGACAGAGACGCGACCTGTGTGATGTTAAGAAGGAAGCTTTCATGTTACCTTGTGATAATGTTGCTGACACACACACACACAGACTTAACTACGGCTGCTACGTTTACATAGCTTTGATAGCGCCCTCTGCCTTAACCAATGTCACTATTACTAACACCATTGCCACCACTTTAACCATTGCCATTGACGCCTTTACCAACGTCACCACCAACACTACCATCACCACTACCACTCACTAGTCACTACTACCATTCACCACTCACCACTATTCACCACTCACCACTATTCACCACTCACCACCGTTACCTCAGAACGTGTCAAACAATCGTTGCCCATCATCTTTAACCCCTTGCACCTGACCCACTTCCAGATATTTGTGTACTGATTTAACATTATTTTAGCACATCACTTACAGCTCCCTCACACACACTACTACACACTCTTAACACACTCTTAACACATCCCTTACAGACCGACACACTCTACTACACGCTCTTAACACATCTCTTACAGACCTACACACTCTACTACACCTTCTTAACACATCCCTTACAGCTCCCTCACGCACCCTTACCACACCTTTCACATCCCTTCCTGCATCCTCTACCACAAAATCACACATACTTTTACCACACCCCTCACATCACCACCCCACCCTTCACACACTCTACCACACCCCTCACACACTCTACCACACCCCTCACACACTCTACCACACCCCTCACACACTCTACCACACCCCTCACACACTCTACCACACCCCTCACACCTCCTCCACACCCCTCACACACTCTACCACACCCCTCACACACTCTACCACACACCCATCACACACTCTACCACCCCTCACACACACCTCTACCACCTCACACACTCTACCCCACCCCTCCACACTCTACCACCTCTCTACCACACCCCTCCCACACACCTCTACCCCACCCCTCCCCCTCCCACCCCCTCCACACACTCTACCCCCACCTCACACACTCTACCCCACCCCTCCCACACTCTACCCGCCCTCTTTCCCCACCCCACACCCCTCCCACACACTCACCCCACACCCCTCACATACTCCTTACCACACAACTCTCCTTCCCTCTCTCTACTTCTCCCTTAATTACTGTCCTCTCCTTTCCTCCCTCCTCTCCCGCCCTTCCCGAGGTTATCAGAAGCCTCCAGGACCCTCATACTACATGTCACGGACGGACGGACGGACGGACGGACGGACGGACTTATTGATGAACTTCCTTAATTTCAAAACAACAAAATAATCCGTGTTAGAAAATTACCACGATCAGGACGGGGAAGCCTAATTGATTTTTTTGGGTGGAGCCTCGCTGACTTGCCTAACTAACCTGTCGTAATTAAACCCGCTTAAACTAACTTCACCTGACTTAAATCAAGCTGAAAAAGCGGCAAAAGACAGACAAACATATAGACAGTCTTATATATACACATTATAGTTAGAGAGGTATTAATTAAAACAGCAGTATTGATATGAACGTTTCTCACCTGTGCACCCCCCCCTTTCACGACCACCAGGTGAGCTTAATTATCCTCGCCACCTACCATCATATTTATATTATTTTACTGAAACTTGATATAAGAAACTTTATAAAATACACAGTAATGAGGTAATATATATTTTTATTTTTTTTTCCTCTGGTGTTTGTTCATTGTTCTCTTTCGTTATCTGTATACGATATATGAGTAATTATTTTTATTGGTGTATCGTCTGAAATTGGTGGGAGAGCTGCAGCGAAGAGACGGGTGTGATGCAGGTATTTGTTGATGATGTTGTTTTTGGTATTATTTATTGTTGTTATTATTGTTTCCGATTGGTATTATATTATTATTATGATCGGTAGTAGTAGTTATTGCAGTGGTAGTCGTAGTTGTTGTAAAAGTAGTAGTAGTAGAGTACGGTAGTTAGTAATGAAATGTGGTGTGTAGTATCCGTAGAGTTAAACATATACAGGGGGGTGTGAATTAATGAGCCATTTTGCTAATCGCGTAAGCAATTAGCAAATCAACTAATTAGGCAATTAGTTGGTCAACCCAGCAACTCGTTAACCTGCCAGCCATCCTGACAGCCAGATGCCACCCCCAACCAGTTAACTATTTAGTCAACCACCGAACCAGTCAACCAATCAGTGAATCAATCAACCAGCCAGTTAGTCAACCAATCAGTGAGTCAACCAGCTGACCAATCAACCAGTCAGTCAGTCAATCAGTCAACCATCAGTCAACCCAACTTAATTACACTCGGTCACAACGTTCTGACTGTCGCCAGAAAACTTTGGCTACAACTTGACAAAATTTCAAGACTTAAGTGGTTAGGTTAGGTTAGGTTAGGTTAGGTGCTGCTGCTGTTGTTCAGGTCAGTTTTATTAAGTAAAATCACCATACAGGTTTTCAGCGAGTCATACAATGCAGGTTTACATTCCAGCATGTGTATAGACAACGCAGGCAAACAATATACTTATACCATATAGATATACATAAAATATACCTAGACAGTGCTTGTATACATACAATGGTAAACTAATGATTGATAAGTTCAATTGAATACAGCGTCAGTAACTCACTATCTGTCACTCACTCACTCGCACCCTGACGGAGGAGAGTATTCAGTACAGCAGGAGAACATTCAGTACTTCTGTATTAACTGTAATATCCCGTGCTGTAACCTGTCAGATCTTATAAATATGAAATCTCAGACTCAATTAAACAAAATGCAATTAAACCTGTCCAAATTTAGCAGTGCCACCCAGCCATCCAGCCAGTGGGTCTCTTGTGTCTTGGTGGAAAATTGAGTTTCTGCCTCTAGACGGCTTTCATAGTTACACCTGCTAATTTGGCTTGCGTGTTACCTGTATTTGTGTAGATATTTTATGATCCGTCATCCAGTAGCCATCATCGGGTCAACCGTCAGTTATCATCCGTCAACTGTCGCCTTTTATCCGTAAACCGTTATGCATCATCTGTTAGTCGTCACTCATCATCCGTCAGTGTCATCCAGTATCCGTCTCGCAATATCTGTCACCCGTTATCCGTCAACCGTTTCTCATTATCCATCAACCGTCTTCCATTATCTATCATTTGTTATCCGTCAACCGTTAACCGTTACTCATCCAGCTATCATTTATCATCCGTCACCGATCACCCAACAGGTCATCCATCCACCTAACATCCCCGTACTGAAAAGTCATCCATTCATCCAACCATCAATTAACCTGGAACAGAAATCATCCACTTGACCAATGTGAATAGACCAGTTTACCAGTCATCCATCATCCAGCCCCGGCCACCCGTCAGCTGATGAATCAATAAACCCCGTGTTAATCAAAGTGGCCAATCAACTCGATAATCAACCCGCGTACTAACAACCCAATTAAATATCAAACAACCAACATATTTTTTTTATTTGAATTACTTTATCGAGCGATGGGGGGGGGGTGTTGTCGGCCAGCCTCCACCATTACTACTACTGTACTACTTTCATCACTACAAGTACCATCATCACTACAAGTACCATCATCACTACAAATAC